CCTGCTTTGATGCCAGCTGCAAACTGGTATGGCTGCTTGCAGTGTGCCCAGCTCCCCGAGTCAGGTTTCTCATGCGGTTCCTTAGCAAGGCTCAGAGGACTGAGGAAACATTTCCCTGTGTTTACCGTTTACTAGGGGTCTTTCAAAAATGTGATGAAAAATTATATGACAAAAGCTGTATGGGTTTAAAAATGTGTTGCAGCAAAATAAACGTTTTCTTTTAATTCCATTTTTCCACGAACTTTTTGAAGTGATCCTCATTTTCATAATGGATACAACTCAAAACAGCCAAGTAGAAGACACTCATAAAGCAGCAGGTGGGGAGGAAGCTTGGCAGTGGGCCACGCCAGCGCCCCTCACCCGGAAGTGCCTCAAACCACTCTCGAGGGTTTCTCAGAGAAGGTTATTCTGCGGGCACACTGAGGCCGGCCTGTGCACGCTGCCCTTGGGCTGCCTGCATCCCATGTCGAGTGCCTCTTTGACTCCTGGGCCGGAAGCTGGCTTTTCCCTTTCAAGCTAATAGCTCTAACCCTTTGCACACATCTTTCTTTTGCATATCCTACCCTGTTACGAATCTTTGATGCCAGAGGCACAGACACATGGAGTTCCCCCATCCTTGTTTCACTGGGGAGGAACCCGCATCGCTAGGACTTAGTGGCTTGGCCAGCGGGACTGCACACTGGAGGGCAGAGCCCGTGGTCCCAGTGGTCCTATCCTTATTCTGTCTGCGTGGTGCTTGGTCTTAGTTTCTTCGTCGAGTCAGTGATGTGGGGGTTAATCATTTATTTTAACCCCTTGGCGCACAGTTTAAGGTAAGTAATTCAAAGACATAGCTTGCTCATATTTAAATTTTATTTTAGAAATATTTAAGACATTTAAAGTACTATTTTTTTCATGTAGATATTGAAGAAAGATTTAGACCTTTTTATTCAAGTCATTACAGGAATTCGTAGAAGAGGATGTGAAGAGTTTAAAGGTAGGTACCACAGCATAAGCTCAGCACGTTAGCCTCTATCAGACCACATTACCAACCACGAGAAGTGAAGTGGTGTGATTTGCTACTGAGATTTGCATGAAGCCACCATGTGCAGACATCGTCTGTCGGCACACTAGACCGTCCCTGCAGCAGAGCCGATTGCGTGGTGACGTGAAACAAAAGCGCAGTGTCCCTGGGAAAGTGGAAAGTACAGGGAGCGGAGTGGTCGTTCTGAGGATTCCTGAGAAGCGAGAGACAACAGAGCTGTATCTGCCAAGACGTCTTAGGAAATGTTAACCTAAAACCCAGCGCTGAGGGAGACGTCCTGGAGGAGGTGTGGGAGTGACCGCAGAGGCGCCTGGCGCTGACAGAGGCCTCCTGTGAACCCCCACAGTGCCGTCTATAAGTTGGCTGCCGACCCCTGTCCCCTGTGTGCAGCAGTGGGCGCAGCGCCATCTGCCTCGGCTGAAGCTGTGAGTTTGGGGTCAGAGGTCAGGGAGCTGTGTCAAAACCCAGTTAGGAACTGAGAGGCACGGATACACTCAGGAATCAGTGTACTGCCCGAACTTCCCGCTGCATCCCCCCATGAGCATGAGAAACATGCCACAGTACATGAAACGGGCGAGCAAACAGACTTCAAACTACAACAAGAGGCAGGAATTGCCAGGCTTTTGAGAAATGTGCAGACTATAAAAGAGGCATACCCGTGCAAACTGAGAGGTAGCCAAAGTGGTATCAGCATAAAGCATTATCGCAAACTCAAGAGTATTTCTGAATGATTAAGGTCCGATTGACCGGAAGATGCAACAGCTTTAAATATGAATGTACCCTCATCACATGCCTTACCGTGAAAAAGCAAAAAATGACAGAACTCGGATAAATGCATAAATCCACGGCTTTGATGCTAGCATCTATAATTGATAGAACAGAGACAAATCAGGAAAGATGTAGAATATTTGAAGAACAAGATGAGCAAAAAACAAAGGCTAATAAAACTGACTAAACTTAAGAGGCAAGATTGAAATGATGACTAAGGAGATATTACAGTAGACCCTACACACATCAGATGCTATAGAGAGACAGTTATTAACAACCTTTTGATAATTAATTTTAAAATTTAGTTAAAATGGACAAATTTCTAGGAAAGAAGTGTAACATAGCAAAACTGACTGAAATAGAGAAAGGTGAATATGAATATGTCACCATTCACAAGGTTGATGGGAGTGGGCGTGGCCTAGCAGGAAGCTTGTCCTGCTTTGGGTCCCTGGGTGGGATTTAGTTCTGCTTTGACTCAGCTCCCTGCCCCTGCAGACCCTGGGAGGCAGTGGTGATGGCTCGCGTGACTGTCTTCCTGCAACCCAGTGTGGGAGACCTGGAGTGAGTTCCTGACCTGGCTTTGGCCTCAGCCAGGGCCGTTGTGGGCATGTGGGGAGTGAATCAGCAGAAACGCAGGAGTGAGTGTGCACCCACCCTCTAAAACAAACAAACAAAAGCAAAAAGCCCACAGCTTTTAAAGAGGTTGCATCAGATCAAGTCTTCCTACAAACCAAGAAAGCCCACGGCCACGCAGCTTCATCACGACCTCTACCACTACTCAGAGATGAAATGATCGCAGTCTTCACACTCTCCAGAAAATCGGAGACTCTTTGAGACTCATCTCATGCCAGCATAAACTTGATTCCCAAATCTGAAAAAGAAGGCATAAGTACGAGAAAGGAAAATCACAGCCAATCTCCCTTAATAGAATAGAATAAAAATCTTACATAAATGTAAATAGACTGAGTTCATCATGGACAGAAAAACATTGGACTTACTCCAAGAAACCAAGTTAGTTCAGGAAAGTCTGTCATTCTACGGAATTATCTTATTAAAGGAAAAGGAAAAAAATGCCTCTTTTCAATGGATGTAGAAAAATCAGTTGTTAAAATGCAGCGTATATTCATAATTAAAATATTAGCAACTCAGGAAAGGGAGAAGTTCCTTGCCTGGTAATAAGGTATCTGACATGATCACAGCAAATACTGTTCTTACTAATAAAATATTAACAGCTTTTGTAGAGGCACTGTGTGAGACTAGAATGCTGTCTCCACCATTTCTAGTGAGTGTGCTGTAGTGGAGGCCCTAACTACTGCCATAGAGCAGAGAGAAGAGGGTTGCAAAGGATGGACCAGGATTGTCGTTATGGGTAAATGATGGGATACCTACATATAACATTCAAAAGAATCTTTTTGAATCCATAATAGGATTTTTTTGGTTATAAAATCAGTACATGAAAAAATTAATTTTATGTTTTACCCACCACAAATAGTTACCAAACGTACTTTTAGAAAGAAAAAAAAGAAAAAGAAATTGCACTCTTATCTGTACCATACCAAAAAACTCCAGGCCGATGACTTACATAAACGGGAAAACAAAAGAATACAGCTATTGGAAATCTCATCGGAGAAATTCCTCCTGCTCTAACGTTAGCAAGTCTTCAACAAGATACAAAAGCATTAACTGTAAGAGCAAAAACTGATAGATTTGATGAAAGAACGTACTCCTTGAATAAGAACCCGTTATGGGATGACCAGCCACGGGGTGGGGGTGGGGGGACGGCTGCGGCACACGTGTAACTGACAAGACTCCAGTGATATCTAGAGAAATCTTACAAATCCCAGAGAAGAGGATTGGGAGTCCCACTGAAGCGTGGATGACCTCTCTGAACCTGCACTCCGTTTGGGTCTGGTAGTTAGCAAGTGTACAGTGCAGTGGTATTAAGTGATTTAAATGATTGTGCAGCCATCACCACTATCCATTTCCAGAATTAAAAAAAAAAAATCATTCCAACAGAAACTCTATTACACAGTGACTCCCATCCCTCGCTCTGCTGCCCATGGAATCGGCTCTGTTTTCTGCATCTGAATTTGCCTGTTCTGGGAAGTTCATGGAGATCAGATAGAATATTTTTCCGCTGGGTCTGGCGCATTTCACTTAGCCGAGTGTTTTCAAGATGTTTGCGTTTGGTAGCACTATCAGAATTTCTTCCCTTTTACGGTGGACCGACATTCCCTGCAGTGCTGCACCTCACTGTGTTTACCCATTTACCTGCTGATGGGTGCTCAGCTTGACTGTTGTGAAGAACCACGTGGCGAATGTGGCTGTTGACATCCCTGCTTTGCACTCTGAGGACAGTCCTAGCAGTGGGATTACTAGCTAAGAAGATACTCTGTGTTCCTGTTAAGGAACCGTCGAGCTGTTTCCCACAGTAGCTGTGTTGTTCTACATTCCCCGGCAACAGGGTACCAGAACACCATTTCTTCCCATCCTTGCCAACACTTGTTACTGCCTGCTTTTGTTTTGTCAGAGCCATCTCTGATGGTGGCTTTGATCTGCCACCATTGTCATTAGAGCAGTCTCGTGGTGGCCTGGATTTGCATTTCCCCAGTGACTTGACGAATGTTGACTATCCTTTCCTGTGCTTGCCCGGACATTTGAAAATCTGGATGAATGCCGGGTCTTTAGCACAAGTGTTTCTGGTTGTGTTTTGTTACTGAATTGCAGCAGTTCTTTATCTGTTGTGGATGTCTGTCCTTACTGGTTATGTTGATTTACAAATGCTTTCCGACTCTGAGGGACGTCTCCTTACTTTCTCGATAGTGTCTTTGATGCAACGAAGGCGTGAATTTTGATGTGGTACCGTGATGTGGTACAGTTTATTTTTACTTTTGTTGCCCTTGATTTTTATGTCATTCCCAAGAAATCACCCCCAAGACCAATGCCATGCTTTTCTGCTATGTTTTCTGCCAAGAGTTTATAATTTTAGCACTTTTATATTTTTGATCCATTTTGAGTACTTTTTGTATATGATATAATTAAGGGTTCAAGTTCATTCTTTGATATGTATATATCTGGTTTCCCCCTTGAGTAATCCTGGCAAAACTGTCAAAAGTCAGTTGGCTGGCGCCGCGGCTCACTAGGCTAATCCTCCGCCTGTGGTGCCGGCACCCTGGGTTCTAGTCCCGGTCGGGGCGCCGGATTCTGTCCCGGTTGCCCCTCTTCCAGGCCAGCTCTCTGCTGTGGCCCGGGAGTGCAGTGGAGGATGGCCCAGGTGCTTGGGCCCTGCACCCCATGGGAGACCAGGAGAAGCACCTGGCTCCTGGCTTCAGATTGGTGCAGCGCGGCTGTAGCGGCCACTTGGGGGGTGAACCAACGCAAGGAAGACCTTTCTCTCTGTCTCTCTCTCTCTCTCACTGTCTAACTCTGCCTGTCAAAAAAAAAAAAAAAAAAAAAAAGGTCAGTTGACCATAGATGGGAAGATTGATTTCTGGGTTCTCTTCTGTTCCATCGGTCTACCTGTCAGTCTTTATGCCAGTACCATATTTGATTACCATGGCTTTAGAGTGAGTTTTGAAATCAGGAAGTATGAGTCTTCCTCCTACTTTGTTCCTCTTTTTCAGGATTGTTTTGGCTGTTTGGCAGAAGCACCAATTTAAAAAAAAAATTCCTGCTTGTATGATCTGTATGAAATTTCCACCTTCTGAAAAGACTGATTCTCCTCGCAGTGATTCTGGAGCTCAATGTTCCCTGGTGTTGTGCTTCTCTTCACAGAAGCGGTATCCGGAGCAGAGTGCAGTCGTGAAGAGAATGCAGTCTCTCCAGCTGGACTGTGTGCCAGTGCCTCCGAGCAGGTCGAATTCAGGTAACCTGCACCGAGCTCAGACGTCTCCATTCATCCACTGGCTCTTTCCTCTCCTGAACACTGTACAAAATACTCCAAAAAGTGCATGGAAAATTGAGTTAAGAGATAAGTTTATTTTGGTACCGACAAGTTTGAAATCAATGCATAATTGTTTCTTCATCTTTTAAAAATGTTTTCTTTTTTAAAATTTTTATTTATTATTTTTTTTGACAGGCAGAGTGGACAGTGAGAGAGAGAGACAGAGAGAAAGGTCTTCCTTTGCGGTTGGTTCACCCTCCAATGGCCGCTGCGGCCAGCGCGCTGCGGCCGGCGCACCGCGCTGATCCGATGGCAGGAGCCAGGTGCTTCTCCTGGTCTCCCATGGGGTGCAGGGCCCAAGCACTTGGGCCATCCTCCACTGCACTCCCGGGCCATAGCAGAGAGCTGGCCTGGAAGAGGGGCAACCGGGACAGAATCCGGCGCCCCGACCGGGACTAGAACCCGGTGTGCGGGCGCCGCGAGGCGGAGGATTAGCCTAGTGAGCCGCGGCGCCGGCCCAAAAATGTTTTCTTAATACTTTGTTTCTTTTAATATTTTCCATGAGCTTTTTGAAGAGCCTTCATGTGGGAAACAGAAGAAACTCTGCCTTAAAGGGATCCATAATGTATTCAAGAATCAAGTGAAATATATTGGAAATAGGAAGTAATCAGTATTCTCACTAAAATGACCAGAGCTTCCTAAACAGGAGCGGCATAATACGTCTGCTAGGGAGAACGTGACAGGGGAGAAAGTGACAGGGGAGAACGTGACAGGGGAGAAAGTGACAGGGGAGAACGTGACAGGGGAGAAAGTGACAGGAGAGAACGTGACAGGGGAGAACGTGACAGGAGAGAAAGTGACAGGAGAGAACGTGACAGGAGAGAACGTGACAGGGGAGAACGTGACAGGGGAGAACGTGACAGGGGAGAAGGAAGGGAGAGGTCAGAGGTGACTGGATCCAGGGCAGAACCGGCAGATTGTCGTTATCATTTGCATCATGACAAGAGGGAAGCTGCGTGTTAGCTGTCGGACCTGGGGCAAGTTACTTCCCACTCCTGTGCCTCAGCCAGGAAAGCTTCTGCTTTCATAGGGCTTCCAAGGAATGGAAGCCTTCCTAGAAGTGCTTAGGACAGAGCTACGGCTGTCTTTTCTACCGGCACCCCTGTAAGGAGCCAGCCGCCCTCCCTGCTCAAGCCAGCCTCTGTCTTCCCTGGTCCCTGTAAGACTCGCTTTCCTGTTGCTTGGTCCCGCGCTCCCTCGCTGTTGGCCAGAGGCTGTGTGATCTGTGGAACTTGGGGGAGGAGGACCCTCTGTGTGCCTTGTTCTTGCTTCTTGCTTGTTTTCAGCTTCGTGACCCTGTTCAGGCTGTACTTTATTTTTCACGTTTTCTGAAGCCCATTACAATGTGGATCGTTCCCTCCCAGCCACGGAACAGCCCAGCTCCCTGCACAGTTCCCAGGGCTTCATGACGGGTCCAGTGGAGGTGTCCTTTTTCTCTGCCTGCCCTGAGATCTCGCAAGAAGAGAATGAGCCCAGCCTGCAGAGTAAGCTCCAGGAGGAAGCCAACTACCATCTTTACGGCAGCCGCATGGACAAGCAGACGAGACAGCCGCCCAGGCAGAGTGTGGCCTACAGCAGAGAGGAGGAGAGGAGACGGAGGGTTTCCTATGACCCTTTTGCTCAGCAGACACCCTATGAAAATGTTCAGAAAACAGGAATAAAAGTCCACAGTTACCCTGGTACAACCAGTCATAGCAATGCAGCACACCAACCAACAGGACTAACCAGCCAACCCCAACTGCCATATTGGAACAATGGAGTCTACAGTCTACATGGTTTTGGAACAAGGCCTTTGGAGCCGGGAACAGCAGGTCAAGCAGTTTGGTATGGGCCAAGTCTAAGCCCAATGTCAAGTCTGTATAAAACTCCAGTGCCTGAGACCAACCTACTAGGAAACACGCCCACCATTCCATTCAGCTCCTTGTCGCCAGCAGGTAAACGCATCTCTATTGCTGACAATGAATGCCCCGTAGCAGCATGATGGACATAACGAGGAGGGTGGTGACATAGGGCGAGTAGTGGGAGCCTTCAAGTGCAAAGTGAGCCTGGCCACCGTGGAGTGGTCGTGGGAATAGTGCAGTCTGGGCCCAGGATCCATCACGGCGCCCCCACACGTTGTTACAGGTCCTGATGACTTCTTCCATTCTAACCTGCACCACCTGGTGGCCATGTTACACCCAATCTCCGATAAATGGGAAGATAGCTGCTTATACGCTAATCTCACTCACTGTTTTCTAAGAAGTATGAAGGTAGCTCATTTTCACAAAGTTCATAGGAAATGGACTCAAAAGATAAGTTTGTTTTGGTGCAAAAACCTTGGAAATCCATGCACAGTTTGTTCAAACTATGAGTCTTCCATGAATTCTCTAAAGATTCCTCTTGGACATCTTTATTTCTTTTCATAGGTAGCCCAAACACTGCCATTTGTGATGAAAGATTTTCTTTCCATCCCCATATCATTATCCCATGAAGTACAAGTTCATTGATAGTAGCTACTGACAGTCTAGTAGAAAGAACTGAATATCCAGCGTCAGTGTCAGAGAATCCCAACACTACCTTAACTGCTGATTGGCATCTGTCAACCATATCCATACAGTGTCCTGGAAATCTTGAAATTAGCAGTAGAGGAAGTTTTGAGAACTACAGAACTTTGTTACATTCTATTTCAAAAGGCAGAGTTCTCCCAAAGCTTCTTTTTTTTTTAACTTTTATTTAATGAATATGAATTTCCAAAGTACGACTTATGGATTACAATGGCTTCCCCCCCATACCGTCCCTCCCACCCACAACCCTCCCACCTCCCACTCCCTCTCCCCTTCCATTCACATCAAGATCCATTTTCAATTATCTTAACATACAGAAGATCAGCCTAGCACACATTAAGTAAGGATTTCAACAGTTTGCTCCCACACAGAAACATAAAGTGAAAAATAATAGATGATTTTTTAAATGATGATGAAATCAGATCAGACCTATTGTCATGTTTAATCCCAGTGAGAGTCAAGTTGGGAATTGATAATTTTTTTTTTTTACAGAAGATCAGTTTAGTATGCATTAAGTAAAGATTTCAACAGTCTGCACCCCATAGAAACACAAGGTGAAATATATTGTTTGAGTACTCATTATAGCATTAAATCCCAATGTACAGCACATTAAGGACAGAGATCCTACATGAGGAGTAAGTGCACAGTGACTCCTGTTGTTGACTTTACCAATTGACACTCCTATCTATGGCATCAGTAATCTCCCTATGCTCCAGTCATGAGTTTCCAAGGCTATGGAAGCCCTCTGAGTTCTCCGACTCTTATCTTGTTTAGACAAGGTCATAGTCAAAGTGGAGGTTCTCTCCTCCCTTCAGAGAAAGGTACCTCCTTCTTTGAAGACCTGTTCCACTGGGATCTCACTCACAGAGATCTTTTTGCCAGAGTGTCTTGGCTTTCCATGCCTGAAATACTCTCATGGGCTTTTCAGCCAGATCCAAATGCCTTTAGGGCTGATTCTGAGGCCAGAGTGCTATTTAGGACATCTGCCATTCTATGAGTCTGCTGAGTATCTCACTTCCCATGTTGGATCACTCTCCCCTTTATTTATTCTATCGGTTAGTGTTAGCAGGTAATAGACTTGTTTATGTGCTCCCTTTGACTCTTAGTCCTTTCATTATGATCAGTTGTGAACTGAAATTGATCACTTGGACTAGTGAGATGGCATTGGTACATGCCACCTTGATGGGATTGAATTGGAATCCCCTGGTATGTTTCTAACTCTACCATTTGGGGCAAGTCAGCTTGAGCATGTCCCAAATTATACCTCTCTTCCCTCTCTTATTCCCACTCTTATGTTTAACAGGGATCACATTTCAGTTAATTTTCAACACTTAAGAATAACTGTGTGATAATTACAGAATGAAACCAGTCATATTAAGTAGAACAGACAAAAAAAAAATACTAAGAGGGATAATGTATTAAGTTGTTCATTAACAGTCAGGGCTATGCTGATCAAGTCACCGTTTCTCATAGTGTCCATTTCACTTCAGGAGGTTTCCTTTTTGGTGTTCAGTCTGTTGTCACCGATCAGGGAGAACATATGGTATTTGTCCCTTTGGGACTGGCTTACTTCACTCAGCATGATGTGTTCCAGATTCCTCCATTTTGTTGCAAATGACTGGATTTCATTGTTTCTTACTGTGGTATAGTATTCTAAAGAATACATATCCCATAATTTCTTTATCCAGTCTACCGTTGATGGGCATTTAGGTTGGTTCCAGGTCTTGGCTATTGTGAATTGTGCTGCGATAAACATTAGGGTGCAGACCGCTTTTTTTGTTTGCCAATTTAAACTCCTTTGGGTAAATTCCAAGGAGTGGGATGGCTGGGTCGAACAGTAGGGTTATATTCAGGTTTCTGAGGAATCTCCAGACTGACTTCCATAGTGGCTTGACCAGTTTGCATTCCCACCAACAGTGGGTTAGTGTCCCTTTTTCCCCACATCCTCGCCAGCATCTGTTGTTGGTAGATTTCTGTATGTGAGCCATTCTAACAGGGGTGAGGTGAAACCTCATTGTGGTTTTGATTTGCATTTCCCTGATTGCTAGCGACCTTGAGCATTTTTTCATGTGTCTGTTGGCCATTTGGATTTCCTCTTTCGAAATCCCAAAGCTTCTTATGAAAACGTTCTGGATTTTTTCTATGGGTTTTGTTAAAAGATGCATGGAATCGGGCATCAAGTGAGATCTACATTACACACAATCAAATAAGTGAAATGTCCTTTTTTTTAAAAAATTTTTTTTATATTTTTGGAAAGGCAGAGTTAGAGAGAGACAGAGAGCTCTTCTATCTGCTGGTTCACTTCCCCAGTTGTTGCAATGGCCAGGATTGGGACAGGCCAAACCAGGAGCCAGGAACTCCTTTGGGGTCTGCCAGTTGAGTGGCAGGGTCCCAATACCGGCGCCATCTCCTGCTGCTTTCCCAGGTACATAGCAGGGAGCTGGTGTGGAAGTGAAGCAGCCAGGATTCGACTAGTGCTTGTATGAGATGGCAGTGGTGCAAGTGGTGGCTTAACCCCCTGCACCACAACGCTGACCCATGAAATACCCTTCTATTTCATTTGTGTTTTTCAATAAAACTTTCCATTAGTGCTACTATATCATTTTATTTATTTTTTAAAAGTTTTTTGAAAAAGGATCTATTTTATTTATTTGAAAGGCAGAGTTACAGAGAGAAAGGGAGAGACAGTGAGATCTCCCATCTGCTGGTTCACTCCCCCAAATGGCCGTGAAGCCAGGACAGGAACTGGTGCTCATATGGGATGCCAGTGCTGCAGGTAGCAGCTTAACTGGCTATGCCACAACGCTGGCCCCTTAAAAAGATTTCAAAAGGTAGATAGGGGCCAGGGCTGTGGCGCAGTGGGTTAAAGCCCAGGTGCAGTGCCGGCATCCCATATGGGTGCCAGTTTGAGTCCTGGCTGCTCCACTTCCAATCCAGCTCTCTGCTGTGGCCTGGGAAAGCAGTGGAAGATGGCCTGAGTCTTTGGGCACCTGCACCCACATGGGAGACCCCAGCAGAAGCTCCTGGCTCTGGATCAGCTCAATTGCTCTGGCAATTGTGGTCATTTGGGGAGTGAACCAGTGAATGGAAGACCTCTCTCTCTGGCTCTACCTCTCTCTGTAACTCTGTCAAATAAATAAAATAAATCTTTAAACAGAATGAATCTGACAGTTAGAGCTCCCATCTGCTGGTTCACTCCCCAAATACCCACAACAACTAAGACTTAGAGTGGAGCCAGGAGCCAGAACTCCATCCAGGTGTCCCAGTTGCTGCTGCCTGCTGGGGTCTGCACCAGCAGGAAGCTGCAGCAGGAGCCAGACCTGGAGTCAGGGGTTGAACCTGGGTACTCCTGCCTGCGTGTGAGTGTCCTAACTACCAGGCCAGATGCCCACCCCACAACTTCTAAGCCTTGTCCCACTTTGTGCCAGGCAGTGGTCTAGGGCCTGGAAAGATACAGCAGTGGGAGAGAGCCTGAATCCCTTCCCTCGTGGAGTTTAAATCCTGGTGGGTAAAAGGCAGGTCATCAGCCAATATTTAACTTTCATTTTGCTCTGAACTCTGTCCGAGTAACCCAGTCACACTAGTTCGGTGCCAGAAGTCTGTTTCCACTCCTCCTCCCGTAGCTGCCCTGCCAGTCGCAGATATCCAGGGGTCCAGCCCTCAGTGAATCTGAGATGCTCCCAGTGCAGGAAGAGAGTGAGTCTGTAAGAATAACGGAATGATCTGCGTTCCTGCCCCGAAAGATGACCCTGCAAAGCCCCGAGTTAATAAATGAACAAGTTGAGTTTCTCTTTGCAAATGTAACGGGATTCTTTTATTTGCTTTTGTTAGTCCTGACCCTACATTGATTAGAAATAATTTTCTTTGCATTGTAAGGAGGCTATGTCTGAATCAGGGAGCCCAGAAAGAAAAGAAACACTTCATCATTTCAGTGAAACAGGGCCCGAGTCCCTTCCTTTTACTAAGTGTGCTGCCTTCAGTAAGAATTGAAGAGGAGAGCTCACTGAACTCTGAGGGTGGAGACCTGTCGTCCGTGCAGCCCTCTGTTGGTGGAGACCTGTTGTCCGTGCAGCCCTCTGAGGGTGGAGACCTGTTGTCCGTGCAGCCCTCTGTTGGTGGGAGACCTGTTGTCTGTGCAGCACTCAGTTGGTGGGAGACCTGTTGTCCGTGCAGCCCTCTGAGGGTGGAGACCTGTTGTCCGTGCAGCCCTATGTTGGTGGGCCCTTGGACTGTCTCCATCTCCAGGCTGCTGTGAAGGGTGCTGTTGTGAGCATGGGTGTAAAGATGCTTCTTCACAATCCCACTTTCAGAAATGGAATTGCGGGATCACACGGGAGTTTTTAAGTTTCTGATGAACCTCTGCACTCTGTGCACAAGGGTTTTGTTCTCTGCATAGTCTTGTTAACACTTGGTATTTTCTGTTTTTTCCTTTTTTATAAGTACCATCCTCGTGGCTGTGAGGTGGGTTAGTTGCATTTTAAGAAAAATTTAAAGACAGGCATAGGTGATGAAGTTCAACGTCTGTGAAGGGACGCCCTGTTGTAACTCTTGCTTGTGATTTAAATGTCCCTCGCCTGTGTGTTTCTCTCTGTTCAGAAGAGTCTATGAAATGCACCATATACAACAGCAGTGGCATTCAGCTTGGAGCCTGTAACTACATGGAGATCGGCGGGATGAGCTCACCACCACTAGAATGCTTGTGCACAAACTTACAGGAGCCAGCTTCTAAGTACCAAGCCATCTTCGGTAAGGGTCCCTTACGCGTCCACCAACTGTGAGCTCTCTCACCTGTTCAGAGGGATGTAGTGGAATCTGAAAACTGCCCCATGACTCTCCTGAAAGCTACCCCGTTTTCTCTGTAAAAACCACAGATTCACTCCTTTGTCATGTATTTATCTGTAATATGGGACGAATCACAGTATCTGATTCATGGCTTTGTTGTAAAAATGAAATGAGTTGATGTGTGTGTCGCTCCCCCTCTTCGTGGAGGAACGACACAGGACCCTGCGCTGTTCTTTTCGTCTGCTCGGCCCTCCCCGGGTTTGCTGCTGGTTCTTCCCGGGTTGGCTACTATCCCTTCCACCTCCGTGGAAGGGCAGTTCCCCCTGGCCACATTCCCCACTTCCGCAGGGGAGCGGCACACCGCCGGCCGGCTCTCTGGGGGGCTGCACGGATGTTCCTTCAGCTAGATGTTCCGCTTAGATGTTCCCCATAGATGTTCCTGGTGCATGCCGTTTCTCTCCTCCTTTATAGTCCTCCTCCGCCAATCCTAACTCGGCTGCCCACACGCCGAGTACGCTGCTCTCCTCCAATCAGGAGCAAGTCCTACAGTTAATTGGTTGAACTGGAGGCAGCTGGGTAGAAGCTGTTTTCTCCTCTCCCAGTGCCATATTGTAGGAGAGCAGATGCATAGAATAAGTCTTAATTCCAGTAACCCAGTCTAGTCCGAGCTGCTCCCCACAGAGGAGAGCAGATGCATAGAATAAGTCTTAATTCCAGTAACAGTCTAGTCCGAGCTGCTCCCCACAGATCCCCCTTTCTTTTTATTTTTTTGGCGTTGATACGCGCCTGTCTTCGGTGTCCCGCAGCACACACTCTGCTCTACTTGCTAGAATTGCCACAGGCTCTTACAAGTCCTATCAATCAGGCAAACCGAATCCGGGTCCTCTCTTCGCCATGTTGTGAGGAGGTTTTTAGGCGCTGATGCGTGCCTGTGTTCGGTGCCCTGCAGCGCATACTCTGCTCTGCTAGAACTGCCTGCAGGTGTTTACAAAACCTATCAGGCAAACCGAATCCAAGCCTTCTCATTGCCTTTTGTGGGGGAGACTTATTAGTGTTGGTTTGTGCCTATCTTCGGTGACCTGCAGCTCACACTCTGGTCGAGCTGCTCGCTGGCGCTTACCGCCTTAAATCAGGCAGACCGAATCCAAGCTTAATATTGTTGTATTGTGGGGAAGCCTTACTGATGTTAATTCGTGCCTGTCTTCGGTGACCTGTGGCGCATAAGCTGCTAGCTGCCTGCAGGTGCTCATCGCCTCACTTGATTAGGCAGACCGAATCCAAGCCTTCTAATTGGCATGTTGAGGGGAGGCCTTATTTTTCTCTATTTCTCTATCTCCGGGCATTCCTACCTCTCCCATTTCACTTCTATCTTCCAGCATTCCCATTTCTCTTTTACTTCACTTCCAAACTTCTGTTTTCTCTTATCCCCGCGGCTTCCCGGCGCCTCGCCCTGCCGGCAGCTTCACGGCTCCGCGCAGCTTCCCGGCGCCTCGCCCCGCCAGCGGGCTCCGCCCCGAGGCTGCTTCTCCGCGCCTCGCCGGCTCTGAGCCGCTTCAGGCCCGCGCCTCATCTGCGCGGCTTCCCGGCTTTGCGCGGCTTGGCTCCGCGCTCCGCGGTCTCCACGCCCTTCGCGTCCGCACCACGGCCTACGCCAGCCCCGTTCCCTATCTATTCACGCCCCGTGCTCTCTGCACGCGGCGGCTTCCGCGAGTAACACAGCGTAGCTTGCGTCTCCACCACTAGCATTCAATCCAAGTTCCCCGGGCTAGCCTGGCGAATTCAACCAGCGTACGTCTCCGCCCCACGGTTTGGCTTCCCGTCCTTTGCTCCCCGGGCTAATCAGACGGATCCCAATCTGGCTTGCGTCTCAGCTTCTGGTTTCAACTTTTCGCCCCCTATTCCCGGGCTAACTTGAGAACCCCAAAGTGGCTTTCGTCTCCGCCTCGGCCTGCCCCCCGCGGCTTCAATTTCCCTAACATTTTTCTCTACCCGGTATGTTTCCCTAAGTTTTCTTCCAACAATATTCCTCCCTCATTTCTCCTGGCCTCTCCCCACAGTCCGCATCCGAGTCTGTTTGTTCTAGCTTTCACTTTCGCTTTCGACCTTAGAGATTTCTCCCAGCTTCCCCCCGTAGTCCGTATCTGAGTCTATGCCTAGGCTTTCAATAGCTTCTTCCGGCTCCTTTTTCGTCCGGCTTTTCCCTAGGCTGTTTGCTAGTTTCTCTCTCCGATATTTTCCCTAGTTCTTCCCGTTTCTTCCCTCTTAAGTTTGCTATCCGACCTAGGTTTCCTAATCCGAGTCAGGTTTCCTCCTAAGTTTCATATCCGTCCTAAGTTTCCTATCCGAGTCACGGCACCATTATGTCGCTCCCCCTCTTCGTGGAGGAACGACACAGGACCCTGCGCTGTTCTTTTCGTCTGCTCGGCCCTCCCCGGGTTTGCTGCTGGTTCTTCCCGGGTTGGCTACTATCCCTTCCACCTCCGTGGAAGGGCAGTTCCCCCTGGCCACATTCCCCACTTCCGCAGGGGAGCGGCACACCGCCGGCCGGCTCTCTGGGGGGCTGCACGGATGTTCCTTCAGCTAGATGTTCCGCTTAGATGTTCCCCATAGATGTTCCTGGTGCATGCCGTTTCTCTCCTCCTTTATAGTCCTCCTCCACCAATCCCAACTCGGCTGCCCACACGCCGAGCACGCCGCTCTCCTCCAATCAGGAGCAGCTCCTGCAGCTTGTCAAGTTGGTGAGAGGCAGCTGGGTAGAAGCTGTTTACTTCTCTCCCAGCGCCATATTGTGGGAGAGCAGATGCATAGAATAAATCTTAATTCCAGTAACAGTATAGTCCGAACTGCTCCCCACAGAGGAGAGCAGATGCATAGAATAAGTCTTAATTCCAGTAACAGTCTAGTCCGAGCTGCTCCCCACATGTGTGAAAGAGCTTAGAGCTCCTAGCACGCAGTTCTGTAGAAGTGTTAGACTTTCATCATCATCAAAGAAGGTTCTACACGAGATAAACACTGCTTTCACTAGCACTTCTGTAATAAAACCAGAGGGCTGTCTTCCGTAGGGCTCTGCTGTGCAGACCCATAGCATTAGTCCTGAAACAGTCTGGGGAAAGCAGTCGTGAGTCTAGCATAATTTAGAACACAGGTTTTTGATTGACCCTGGGATTGGCGGATTCTGTCCGTAAACAGCCGGATAGTAAGTAGGCTAGGTTTTGTCCCTGAGGTCTCTTTTGGAACTACTCAGCTCTGTTGTGCAATGCAGAAGCTTCCACACACTGCTTCTTGTGCACATGAGTGAGCAGGCCTAAGTGCCAATAAAACTTTATTTACCGAAAAACAGACAGGAGGTGAGACTGGACCCACAGGTGATAGTTTACCAACCCTTGCTCAGAGCCATTTAAAGGACAGCTTTTAGCATATCTGGAATAGAGGTTCTTAACCTTTGAGTAGCCAAGGGTGTCTGAGAATCTGATGAAACCCAGAATCCCTCTCCTAAAAGATATTGACAAACTTTGACAAATGTTATCTTGGTCCATGGACTACTGACATCTAGTGGTAGCGGTGGGAGCTGCATTATGGTGGGCAAGGAAGACTGGGAGTTGAGTGGGGGAAATGAGATGTCTTTTTCTGTTTAGCTTTTCGAGTTTGGATGAAAGTCAGGAATATAAGTGTTTTTGTTTCCTCTTATTAATTATTTTATGCAGGGTTAAGGGGAAGAATCCAGTAAGCACGGAGAAGAGGGAACAGCAGTTGGAAGGGGAGGCTAAGGATGGATCTCAAATAGACATGGAAGCATTTAGACTCCTTATCCCTTGAAAGACAAGGGAAGGCACGGAACAAGACTCACGCTTGTTGGTTCACATCGGATGGTCAGGTTCATTCTTGATGGCCTCAGTTTCCACGACTGGATAGGAGGAAACTGTGGGGTGAAGTGTGGCAGGGGAGGGCACAGGGTCAAAAGGTTAGTGGCCTTGTCTCTGGCCAGGTGTAAATGGGAAATGTGCAGAAGGAACAAAGGTGGTGCTTTTCTCCTTTACATCCAAGAGGTTCTGCTATGAACAGGGCTGCTGACTTGGACTGTAGGGAGCACCCAGCCCAGTGAGCATGTGGTGGTTTTGACCACAAAGCCATCAGCGGTAGTTCAGGGATACACCTGCTAAGAGGAAGTGAGCGCCCTATCCCAGTTCACTGCAGGACTCCCAGGCCGGCAGCACGCCGGTTTCCTCCAGTGAGTCACCACATCATTGAGTTCTCTTTTTCACCCTTTCCGACAGCTCTATGATTAAGGAATCCCCTTCTTCGCCTCCCAGGTTTCTCTAGCTGTTTGGGAGCCAGAATGCACGAAAGGGGTGTAGCTTGATGCTGTCTTCTCTCTTCCATTCGGCAGATGACACCACGAGTCTGACGGACAAACACCTGAGCCCCGTCAGGGACAACCTGGGAAAACACTGGAAAAACTGTGCCCGGAAGCTGGGCCTCACCGAATCGCAGATCGACGAGATTGACCATGACTATGAGCGAGACGGACTGAAAGAGAAGGTTTACCAGATGCTCCAGAAGTGGCTGATGCGGGAAGGCACCAAGGGGGCCACCGTGGGGAAGCTGGCCCGTGCACTGCACCAGTGTTCCAGACAGGATCTCCTCACCTGTCTGATACAGCTCAGCCAGAAGTAGCCCTGGGGCCGGGCGGGAGGTCCTGGCAGCGGGAGGCAGACGCCTCACTCAGCGAGGAGCCCATTGCTAAGAGCTGCCCAGCGCGTCCAGAATTCTGTTCGCACTGGGACGGGTTCCGTGTCGACATGAAAAGCATTTCCCGCACTTTCGGAGCTGCAGGATGGGAAGAGAAATCCTGGCAAGCGGATTCCGGAAAGCAAGAAGACCTCTTCATGGCCCAGAACCAGTCAGAAGCAGCTCCTGGTTGGCTTTTGAAAGGGAGAGAGAGATACTTGAGGGAGATCGCTTTCCATTATGCTAATCATTCTGTTTCCTGGAGTTTTGTTTGAGAAAGGAAAAAAAAAATCAGAGCTCCCTTCTCCACACAGGCTTCTGTTAAAACCCAAGAACTGTGGGGTTCTACGTTCTGCTCAATAGGCACTTCTGAATCGCGGCCACAGTTCATCTGCAGACGGCAGAGTCTGTTAACTTCACCGTCGAGCACTCTGTCGGTCACCGCAGGCTTTATGAATTGCACGCAGTCTCCTCTCCATTATACGCACTTGCACGTTAGCTGACTTTATACTCAGTTAATGGGTAAATGAACCGAGGGTGTCCTGTGGAATGCTGCGGGGCGGGGGAAGTCGGGCGGGGCGGGGAAATCATCAGGTGTTCCAAGAAACTGCTAACTGTGACGACTGCAGAAAGCCTTCGTTTTTTCCAGTTCTTCCCTGGTGTCCTGGTCTTTCTGCACAGCCCGGGTCCCTTGAGGAGAGAGTGGGTATATGAGGAGCAGTAATCTCTGCCCCCAGGCAGGACTGGGGCTTGGGGACTGGTCCCTGGGGAGCCGCTGCCTCGGTTTGCCACAGTGTACTGTCGAGGTGCTTTCTCTGTGCTAAGAAGTAGACAAGGGACAGCGGCAGAGGCTGCTCACTGTGCCCTGGCACTCGGCCTTTCCGAGCCCACTGGAAACCGGGAGGCAATGCAGGAGCCACAAACGGAAGGTGCCCAGGGCCCCCTGGACAGCGGGAATGCCATTGACCTCACTCTCCCGGGAAGGGGGGGAAGGGAACAGGGGTGGCCATTCCAGCTGTCAGAACGGATGCCGGGGTTCTGGGTTGATAACGTGTTGGTTCTGATTCTGAATCCCCTCCAGCTCCAGCAGACACAGCCGGCCAGCCACACCCCCACCCCCAGAAGGAGGCTGCAAAGCAAGGTTTCTCCCTCAACACCCCTGGCATCTTGATCAGGATAGCTCTTTGCCGTGGGCTGTCCCGTGGCTTGTGGGATGCTTGGCAGCACCCTCGGCTTCCACCCACCAGGTGCCCTGAGTGCCGGTTTTCCCCGCCTCCTCCCCTGAGGTGTGACACCCGTCTCCAGATGTGGCTCCGTGTTCCTCGGAAGGGCACAGCCGCCTCCGTGGAGAACAGAGCTCAGTCTCCTGTCCACACACAGATCCGGGCTCACCACCCAGCTGCCACTCAGCGTTAGGCCTGCAGAGGGCAAAGAAAGTGCCCTGACTTCCCCAGCAAGGCCTGGGTGTTTCCCTTTAAAAACGAATTCCCTGTACCTTCATTCTGATGGTGTTCTCAAGTCTCCACATTCAGTGATCAGTGTTAAGAGAGAGAAATAAGATTTTAATGGACCTTCTAGAATAAAATGTTACACCTCTGAAGTCGTACACTGACATACGTGTGACAGTTTGGAAGTCCCCACTGTTGGTTTACTGCTCAGGCCGGCGTTCCTGTGCCCACTCCTGCTGTCTAGTCTGAGTAGCACTTGGTCCCTAAGTGCCTGCAGACATTTAAAGCTTAAGTCAGGATAATGTCACTGCGAGGTGGAGGCCTCTTCCAGCGATGTTTGAAGGCAGGCCTGGAGGGCGGGCCTGAGTCACTAAGGCTGTGCCCTTGGCAGCTCCTTCCTCAGAGACGTTTGGTTACACAGCCTGGGTTGGTCCCAGACGCCCTCTCTCTGCATCTTGGCGCACCATGTGATCGGCACACTCTCAGCTCCTGCCACTGGTCAGCCCCAACAGAGGCAGAAATAGGGGAGCCACCTGACCCTGGACGTGAACCTCCAAAACCGGGAGCTGAACGTACTTTGTAAAGTTAGCTGCTCAGGTGTTTCACTGTAGCCACGAAAACCTAAGCAGGCACTGCCCTTCACCCCGCTGATGGCGCCCAGGGGAAGCTTCCAGACAATGAACAGGCCGACAACACGGCTGTCCTTCACGGGCTCCAGGAGATCCTCACACGCGAGGTTATCCATGGTGAACGAGAGCCTGCTTGGCAGCTTTCCCGCTTGCTGCTGTGGGCATAGTCTTTGCTCTGAGTCTCGCATCCACGTCAAGGGCTTCAGGAAGAAAAGTGGTTCTTCCTTAGCGTTGATGTAATATCTATTTACAGAGAAAGTTTCTCTTACTGTTTACATTTTCACGGTTTTAGAAGCAGGGGATTATCATGGAATCAGTGAAGGGCTGGCCTTCTGCAGTGAGCTCCACAGTAGGCAGTAACCCAAGGTCAGCATTCTGGAGTTCTGAATTCAGATTCCCCCGGCTGCTCTTCGGCCGTGTGGCCTAGGGCCTGTTTCCTCAGGTGGTGGTGGCAGCAGCACACGAGGTCGATGGGAAGACGAAGGGGGTGCATCCTTGGATGCTGGCACAAGAATGGCAGTACACTGTTGTGCCACAGTGTGCGTGAAGGAAGTCCTCAAGTACGTGCTTAGTAAACCGTGAGACCAACAACTTGGAAGCTCAGTGCTGCCATCTTTGCTTGACAGTAGGATGGCTGGGTTTGAGATTGTGCACTTGTTGGGGCCAGCACTGTGGCGCAGCAGGTTACCACGCCGGCATCCCATATGGGCACTGGTTAGAGACTCGGCTGCTCCACTTCCTGTCCAGCTCTCTGCTGTGGCCTGGGAAAGCAGTAGAAGATGGCCCAAGTCCTTGGGCCCCTGCACCTGCGTGGGAGACCCAGAAGAAGCTCCTGGCTCCTAATCGGCGCAGCTCTGGCCGTTGCAGCCAGCTGGGGAGTGAACCAGCAGATGGAAGACCTCTCTCTGTCTGCCTCTCCTCTCTCTCTGTAACTCTTTCAAGTAAAATAAATCTTTAAAAAAAATAAAAAACTGTACACTTGTTTAAAGTTTATTTATTGGAAAGGCAGAGCGACAGGGACAGAGCGATCTTTCTGCTGGTTCACTCCCCGGATGCCGCCACTGCCAGGGCTGGGCCACAATGAAGCCAAAGCCAGGAACTCCATCCTGATGGCCCACATGAATGGCGGGGGTCCAAGCAATTGGGCCATCTGCTGCTGCCTTCCCAGGCACAGTAGCAGGGAGCTGGGCTAGACTCGTAGTAGCTTGAACTGCTGCTCCAGTGTGGGAATTGAGAGTCCCAAGCTGTGGCTTAACTTGCTGCACACAACACCTGCCCCCAGACAACTACTATTTTTTTTTTTTAATCTTCATCGCAGAAGAATTCCCAGTCAACATTTCAGGAAAAAATAAGGAATACTGACCCTGCTAAAGATTGCAGGAGGTCAAATGATATCCATGTGAACTCAGATATTGTGTATTGCTTTGCAGGAACTGATGGGGGTAGACTTAAGTCGAAAGTAGACTACAAGCATTTTTTGCATATCCTGTAGTTAGACTAACCTTGCGTTTGCTGCCCGAGAAGCTGCAGTTGGCCAGTGAGGATGCTGCAGGCGCTGGAACGGTCCACAGCTGTAACACTTGGAAGTACTGTTCCTATGGAGCTGTCCCACGAGGAGGCTCTGGAGGAAAAACAGCACGCGGGAAAGCCGAAGCTGGAGGAATCCAAGCCAAAGCTGCAGCCGTGGCCACAAGTCTGCCACCGTGTCCGGTTAAGGCAGGCAGAATGGCAGCCAGTTAAAGGGGCAGCTTTTTCCCCCACTTAACTTTGAGAGCTTGTTTGGAGGTTCTGGCAGGGGTGCGCAGCTACCTTGACCCTTGACCAAGACCGGTCCTCCTCTAGCGGGGAAGGGGAAGGTCGCAGCTTCGGGAGGGACGCACGTGGAGCCGTGAGGGAGGAAGGGGACACCCGCCTAGCCAGCCAGGTCAGCCGAATCAACCCTGGCGACCAATCGGGTGACAGATGTCGCGGCCAGATGGCCCTCACATCCGTCCACTTAACTTGGAGTTGCAGACGTTTAAGTGACTTCCACCTTCTCAACCATTTTTAACTGCACGGTCCAGTGGCATCAACTACGATCTCGGAGTTGCACAACCATCACCGCCATCCACCCACCAACTCTCTATTTTGCAAATCTAGAAGTCTGCATCCAGCAAACTGCCACCCTCCACCCCCTCACCCCGCGAGTGTGCACAGCCCGTCCTGTTCTGTCCGTGGGGTCGCAGTATCGGTCCCCTCACCCCGCGAGTGTGCACGCCCCATCCCGTTCTCCTGTCCGTGGGGTCATCGGTCCCCTCACCCCGCGAGTGTGCAGAGCCCATCCTGTTCTCCTGTCCGTGGGGTCATCGGTCCCCTCACCCCGAGTGTGCATACCCCATCCTGTTCTCCTGTCCGTGGGGTCGCAGTATCGGTCCCCTCACCCCGAGTGTGCACAGCCCGTCCTGTTCTGTCCGTGGGGTCGCAGTATCGGTCCCCTCACCCCGAGTGTGTACACCCCTTCCTGTTCTCCTGTCCGTGGGGTCGCAGTATCGGTCCCCTCACCCCGCGAGTGTGCACACCCCATTCTGCTCTCCCGTACCTGGGCCGCAGTATCGGTCCCCTCACCCCGAGTGTGCACGCCCCATCCTGTTCTCCTGTCCGTGGGGTCGCAGTATCGGTCCCCTCACCCCGAGTGTGTACACCCCTTCCTGTTCTCCTGTCCGTGGGGTCGCAGTATCGGTCCCCTCACCCCGAGTGTGCACGCCCCATCCTGTTCTCCTGTCCGTGGGGTCGCAGTATCGGTCCCCTCACCCCGAGTGTGCACACCCCATCCTGTTCTCCTGTCCGTGGGGTCGCAGTATCGGTCCCCTCACCCCGAGTGTGCACGCCCCATTCTGCTCTCCCGTACCTGGGCCGCAGTACGGGGCCTTCGTGAACGGCTCCCTCACTGCAAGGCCCTAAGGGCCGTCCCGCGGCAGGTGCGTCACAGCCCCCGCCATCGCGCGCACCTGCCCCGCTCCGCGCCCTTCGCTTACGTCAGCGTTATGACCGGTACAGCGCTCTCAGGCCCCTGCTCACTCCCTCGGGTGTACCCCAGACGGGGAACCGCTGCCTCCCACAGCAATTCCACGCGTAACGTTAACGTCATCTCCTGGCTCCCACAGCGGCCGTGCCGACACTGCTTCCGTTTAAAAAACACCTGCAGCCACCCTGATGGAGAGAAGGGAACGCAGCCCCCACCCCCAGCGCCTCACGCCCTAGCCGGCCGCAGGGCCGCGGTCTCGCCTCCCCAGCCCGCTGTGCACGCCGCCACGGCCACGGCACCACGGCGACGGACAGGGTCGAGGAGCCCGTCTAGACAGGGGTTCGCGAGGGTTCCAAGGCAGGCAGGGCTGGGAGAGGCGTGGCGGGCTACGCGCGTGGCGGCTCGCCGCACCTGAGGGAGGACAGCCTTGGCGTCCGGGCGGGCTGTGGGCGTGGCTGTGGCGTCCGGGGGCGTGGCGTTAGGGGGCGTGGCAGGGCGCGGCGGCTCGCCGCACCTGAGGGAGGACAGCTGTGGCGCCCGGGCGGGCTGTGGGCGTGGCTGGGCGTCGAGGCCCGAGGAGCCAGAAGCGCGTCGTGGCGTCAGGGGGCGTGGCGGAGCGGAGGAGGCTGGGGCGAGGGCGGGCTAGGGCCCTGCGCATGCGCACTGTCGGCCGTGGCGCGACTTGCGACCATGGCAGTGGCGCTGGGCTCGCGAAGCGCCTTGCGGCTGCGGCTGCTTCTGTCACAGCTGAAGCCTGGGATCCGTGTTTCCCGGGCCGGGCCCGCAGCCGCGTTCGGGTAATGGCGCGCGCCTCTCATCCGGAATCCCCTCGTGCGCGCGCTCGCGGGGTCGGGGGGGCGGCTGGAGCGGCGCGCGGGCCTCAGGTGGGCTGGGCGGCGGGGGGCGGTCCCTGTACTTGGGGTCGCAGTACGGGCCTTTCGTCAATGGCTGGCAGTCCCCGGAGGACGCCTTCTCTCCCGTCTGAGATCCGAGCCGGCTGGAGACCTGGGCGCCCCGTGCGCCCTCACCTCCAGTTCCCCGGGCGCCCCGCGCGCTCTCTCACCTCCGAGTGTCCCGGGCGCCCCGTGCGCTCTCACCTCCGAGTTTCCCGGGCGCCCCGTGCGCTCTCTCACCTCCAGTTCCCCGGGCGCCCCGTGCGCCCTCACCTCCGAGTTCCCCGGGCGCCCCGTGCGCCCTCACCTCCGAGTGCCCCGGGCGCCCCGTGCGCCCTCACCTCCGAGTTCCCCGGGCTCCCCGTGCGCTCTCACCTCCGAGTGCCCCGGGCTCCCCGTGCGCTCTCACCTCCGAGTTCCCCGGGCTCCCCGTGCGCTCTCACCTCCGGGTGCCCCGGGCTCCCCGTGCACTCTCACCTCCGAGTTCCCCGGGCGCCCCGTGCGCTCTCACCTCCGAGTTCCCCGGGCTCCCCGTGCGCTCTCACCTCCGAGTTCCCCGGGCTCCCCGTGCGCTCTCACCTCCGGGTGCCCCGGGCGCCCCGTGCGCTCTCACCTCCGAGTTCCCA